AACATTCCTCCACAGACAAAAAAAACTGGATGACAAACATACAAGTAGCAACAACTTCAGTCAGCCCATGATGGACAAGGACAGCACAGCCTTGACTGTACCTGAGTGATACTTGGTGGCATAGAAAAGACTCCACTCCAGGCTTAATGACAAGCAGCATGAACTGGTAGAGATGTTTGCTATTAAAATAACTTATTTCTGGCTCTGTATTTATCTGCAGATAACATCAGTGAGACTGTGCTTTTTTTCTCCTCCTGATGGTTGACGCTGCCATCAACTCACTTGACCCATTCACCTACCACAGCCAACCCACAGGGGGACTTCTGCAATAGGGCCACCTCCTCCAGCTTCTCCTCACAGATCCACCACAAACTGCAACATGCTGAAATGGCTGCTGTCACTCAACGTACAGTTGCAGCCAAAGACCCAGTCAGTGTGACTCCTCCAGGATTACTCTTCTCAATCTGTTTCACTCCAAGGGTGAAAAAAAATCAATGCTTTGCATTCACTTTCTTTTTTCTTTCTTCCCTTTTCTACGTCGAAGGAAATGAAGCAACATCCATTCCAATTATTACTACTATCTAAAGCCTTTCCAATAACGAGGCATATGGACAGCTAAACACGCACAAACTAATCAGCTTTTACTGCCTGATAAAGCGTCACACTTGTCGTGTTTCCTGATCAGCCAAGCTTATTAGTTCACTTCACATGACGGTCACAAATTTGCATCTATTATCCACTGTCTGAAGATTTAAGAGCTTCCTGTTCTGTAGAGATTATACATCAATGGAAACAATTCTTAAGGGAGAGAAAAGAATATATTAGTTCAGTGCTAGCTTTGCTGGGCAGGCCTTGTTGGATTCATCACTTTAGTCTACTGCACTGACTGAAACCAATGCAGATGGTTTTACCCAACTCCCTCAGAACTGAATGGCACTGTACTAGTAATAATAGCGCTGAACACTCTTCTGAATCCTTAAGAACATAAAGCAAATGAGACTTCTTTTTCTTTGGTTGAATAATAAATAGTTCATTATATGCTCATAAAGTCAAGTGGGCACCTGAGCAGATGCGAAGTACCTTCAAGGCAGCACCGTGTTTAACAATTTCAGAAACAGCTTCCTCACACCCTGCCATTGCTGTGTCACCAGAGGTGCAGACACAGAAGGAGGGAGCAGGACAGCAAAGGTTCTCTGTGGTGCCCCACTCCAGCACGTAACAGACACCCAACTGCTCATCTCAAGCACATAGCTTCAGATACTAAAACGCGGGGATGCACTCAATCACCAAAAATAAATCAGTGATAATCTTCATTTACACATTCCAAGTAGGACAAACAATAAGTGGAAATCAGAGCCAAATACTTTCCCTTGCAAACATTAGGGTTTGAGTCTTATATTGTTGATTCAATCTGACTCCATTTCCTTTCCCAATAATGCCAGTTTCTTTCTCATTATTACCTCCAGCCAGAAAAAAAGAAAAAAAAGGGAAAAAAAAGGCTGATAGTTATTCCAGCCATGAATCAGCAAACGGAGGAGAGTACATGAACATTCAGGATTGCATCTTCCCTGAAGAGACTAATTGTAGCAAGCTTGCCTGGCCTTCTGCCACCTTGTTCTCCTGCATAACAATCTATGCACTACCGTTTGCCACCCTGCCCCTCAAAATGGGCATGGATAGCTGGTGTAAGTGTGCTCTCTAACAAGTCAGAAAGAGGGAATTAGCTGCCCTTTACTTTCTGCTCAGGTCAGCTAATTCTCAGAGTGGTCAGACAAGCTGCAGGGGGAGAGCTGTATGAAAATCACATCAGGCAGACAGATTGGTGAGTCCATTATCAGTGTCTTCCACATTGCCTGAGAATCCAGAGCGTGAGGCAGGAGCAGGGAGAGAGGGGCAAAGGGAGCAGTGAGGCTTGGTACTGTATGAACAGCCCTTCCACCAACATGCAGCAAGGGAAAGGAGAGCTGCACAGTTAAATTCATTCTCTTGTTGAACGGGGCTACAGATAGAAAGAATCAAAAAGTGAGATGTTAACTGTCAGTGCAATTCTCAGTTGCATTTACAATGAATACCTAAGAGCTGGACCCTTTCTCTAACTCCCTTCCGTATTTCCAATAAGATACTCAGAGTCACATCTGAGAAGAGCAGTGTGCACAACAAAAAGCTCAACATGCTAAAAGCGATGCATTTCAATAAACACGTTAAGGCTCTGTTCTGCTCACAAGGAAGAAAAATTGCTTCTCCTGGTGACACCAAGCAAAGTTTTTGCAGGTAGGCCAACAGTCATATATAGAAAGAAAAGCTGACATCACCCAGCTGGTGAAGGGAATCTCCGACTAAACAGCACTCCTCCTCAAGAAGGAGCCTAGCTCCAAGAGACACTCTCCCATCCATGACTGGCCCTTATGCGAGCCCAGAGTGGTTGCACCCTCGGTCCCCCCTTCTGGTCACTTGGGAAGCACAGGTGCAAACAATTTATCTACGCTCCCTGGGCAGCCACAGCCCTTCACTAGATGCTCAATCACCCATTCAAGCCCTAACGGCTCCCCTACAGGCACCTACTGACATTTATTCAAGTTCTGACAACATGGGTGCTGATGATGAATAAGCTCACTTATTTGGGCTAATGCTGCAACCCTCTCACCCTCACATGTTCCAAACTTCACAGATATTCAGCAAATCCCCAAAATATCCCAAGTATCCCATAAAGGTCAGCAATCCTACTCCTGGTCTAATATTCACGAACCAATTCAAAAGCTATAGAAATCACAAAGCACCTGTTGGCATCCACTGGTCACCAGGATTTCTGTAAAAAGCACAAATTCTCCATAATAGACTGTATTTATGTATGTATGTATTAATAATCAGTAATGAAGAGCAAAACACAGAAATACCTAATTTGTTCACAGTTGTCAACTACTTGAAGCTTGAATGACAAAGAAGTACTGAGAAAGCTGCAGCAATTTTGTTGTGATACTTGCATGCTCTGTGAGATACCTCTTCCAAAAACATGCTTGTCATTCATAAAGACAGGGCCATGTAATCAATGGAAGAAGAGATACGTTAACTGTGAAAGACACCATGTGAACAAAATCTTTTTTGTCCCTAAATTCCAAAAGAGAAAGATGGAAAACAATTCTCTCTGACTTAGTGACTGGGAAGCAGAGACTTCTTTGTGACCTGCACAGGTCTAGGCAGCAGCCAGCAGCCTGTTGTCTCAGTCCTGTGCACCTGCACTTTATTCTTCACATCCTCCTGCTCCTGAGACCACTAAGTACTTAGAAGAAAATAAGTATTTATAAGAGAAGGACATAAAGTGAGAAAAACAGACAAAATCTTTTACAAACTAGAAAACAAACTGTCCCTGCTGTTACATAGTCTGTAACCAAGGGCATTGCGCCATTCTCTCAGGTCTTTCTCTCCCAAACTGCTTAATTCCACAGGGGGATTTAGCTTTACAGGTCTAATTCTATCTGTGAAGGTAACAAAAGAAAAACTGTTCATTGAGCCCATTTCCCTTTATGGCTCTGCTCAGACTCTCAAGTCAAGCTCCACCCTGGAGAAGAGGCACTCCAATCCCTATGGATAGTGAAAATGCAGCCAAATACAAGCCCAATTTAATGGCAACTATTTAAATCACTGTAAAATAAAGTGTTTTCTCAGGAACTTAATGAAATAAAATACAAGTCAGAACTATTTTTTTCTCAAGTAAACCAACTGGAAGAGTAGATAATCCCATTAATGTAAAGCACTGAAAATAGCTGAAAGAGGGATTCCAAGAGCTGCAAACACAATGCACACTGCAGAAGATGGAGCAGCAGCAGATTACCCATCCCATCCCTATTTTCTAATGGTGTATAATTAGTGGTTCCTTAAAGAAGCTGCACATGGCATTTCTTCAAACTAAGCTTGGGTTCTGTTTACCAAAGACACAGAGCTTCATTCTTATCTCAAACACATTGCAATGCCTGGATATGCCCTTCCTTAGGAGTGTGTTCTCAAATAAGTACCATACCACATTTCAACAGCAGTAGGCTTGTTCTCTGAAAAACCTTCTAGAATGTCACAGGAAGGAGTTTTAGGGGAAAAAAAAAATGTTTGTGTGTGAAATGTTAAAAGGGATGCATAATACCAAGAGCGTATTTGCTAAGGAAGCTGGCTGATTTATTTGAATATTTGCACAGCTTTTGCAGCAAATCTCCTTCGCTGCTTCTTCTGCATTTTCAGATCAGGGAAAAACACAAGCACATACAAAATAAATAAACACACACACACACACACACACACACAAATGGAGGAAACAATTCCAGCCTCAAAGGAGTAAAGCTTAAAGAAAAAAAAGCTTAAAAATACATACACACAGGAAGAACTTAAAAAAAAAAACCTGAGTAAGGAAATAGTTTTATGCCATTATAGATCTTATTGCAGCAGAGTTAGGATAAACAACACATCATATCATATATCATATCATATGGCTAACCACCAGCAAAAAAAAAGTTATACGACTATATACCTTTCAGGTGAAGATCTTAACAGTGTGCAAAAAGTTCAGAAGTACACCATGAATTGAACATGTGTCCATAACCCATTAAGTCACCTCACCACTCACGTTTCCAACTATCTCAATTAATCGAGAAACATTTTTTCCCCTGCCAATCTCAGCAGGTAAATGCCTATAACAAATCGAAGGTGCACATATGTACCTGTGGCTGAACATTTCTCCTAAGAAATACATTACAATTTCAAAAACTCTCTTTTGACTCCAAGCAATTCCCTATAAGCAGAAACACAAATGAATTTGTAGCTAAAATCAAGTATTGCAACCTCATGCCATCAGGTCTTGGTACAAGAGTCTGAATGCCATTTTTTCCCCTGTATTGCCTATACAATACACAAGGAGCAAGACAAATCAAGCATGAATTTTGAAAGAGAAAATCTTCACTTACTGTGCGTTGGGCATATGTCAAAAGTACATCAGAAGTCACAAATAGGATGCCTACCTTATGAATCCTTAGTTAACTGAGAAAGAAGCAGGAATCTCCTGTCTCAGTTCCATGAAGACAGAATCTCTCTGGACTGAGGTAGAACTCTTAAACCTGGAAAAGAAAATTAAAACAAAGACGTGAGTCAATGATAAGACATGACTGTCTTTGAGGCTGAGTGACAGCTAAGCAGAACTTGAGAATCAGCATTTTGGATGCATCTTAGTTCTTCATCTATGAAATAAGATGAATTTACCTGCTTTATGGACAGCAGTAGTAATTATAGACAAAGCACTAAGATAATACAACACCATCAGCCATGAATACCTATGAAAACCTGGAATCTTGCAAACTGAATATTAGCATACAACAAGTTATGTTGGATTATGCAGAGAACTCATTAAAATTAGTTCTGTTTAATAATATGTTAAAATCTCTCTACATAGCAGTACATTAATTTTAAGACCAATTAATGACTGTTTGCTTCAAGACGCACTACAACTACTGTTGCTCCAATTACTCACTGTTACAGCAATGGCATTCAAGAAGCAAGCCAGGTGCAGTTTGCCTGTTCTCCCTGGGCCAGTCACACCTCTTCACCATGTGCTCGATCACCAGCTCAAGCCATGACCTAACAGTTCCCCTACATGGTGACTATGTTTAAAAATAGTGTTTTGTAGCTGAAAATTTGCTCTATCAAATAGCTTTTTGTTGTATTCTTTGTACCTGTTGTAATTTCTGTGGAAATAAATAGGAGGCATTACTTTTGGAGCAACCTACGTAGTAGAAGCTATTAATTAATGAACACGTTCACTTACATGCTGACATGCTGATTGCAATAGAGCCTCAGGTGCTCTCAACTGACAGCAGACAACAAAGCAGCTTGAGATGCTCTGTTAGGACTGGTGGACTTGAATTCTGCTCTCATTGTAGCATCAGATCCTACAGCTACTGTGGGCCAGCTGTTTTTTACAAAGAAAAAAGAGGTAGCACAGCACCCCTCTAGGATTACACTCAGCATGACAAGCTCGTTTATTCCCAGCAGCTGTTTACCACTCTGTATCTTTCCTGCAGCAAGTAAGACAAAAGCAGAATTTGACTGCAGAATGGCTTGAATGCTACAATAGAAATGGGGCATAGGAGGACCTAGATTCTCTTCACAAACCAAGTGCAAGACTCAAGTGAGGCTTTCAGCATCTTCTTTCTCTCGTGCACCTCAGTTATCCTCTACAGAAACCTGAGATACTCAGATGAAATATTATACCCTACTGTTGATCCATGTGAAATATCAGCTGTTTGAGATCTCAGGACAAGAAGGGCAACAGATCATCAATTTGCAATTTTGCTCATTTTCAGTGAGGAAATTTCCTGTCTCTCTTCTACCTGGTAAGGGCATCCTACTGGAACCAGTCTTCATGAATGATGGCAATAAGAAGCTGAAGTCACTAAAGTTTCACCATGCACTTGGTGCCAAGTTTATAGCTTGCAAAGCGTGAAACTAAAAACAAAGTTATCACAAAAACATATTCAAGGACTGTTCCCTTTCACTGCAGCCCCCTAAGCTGTAAGGTATCATCATATGTATCATCAGAGATCAGATTTATTATTATTTTGAGTAACTCAGGGTTGATTATTCAGAGCGGAAGAAATATGATCAGTTTGGGCTTACAGGAGAACCCACTGAGGAGGCTGAGAGCAGCACCACTGCAACAGCTCAGGCAGGGCCAATGCCCATCTGGGACTCTGTCAGGGCATAGCATTCAGCCTCAGAACCAGCCAGCCTATTTGCTTCCTGCTTCTGCAGGAATTGGCCCTACCAGCCCATTGTCACCTGGAGAAATTCACCCCTTCTCCGGCACACTCTTGGAGCTGTACCTAAAGTCTGAGGGAGGAGAAAAAGGTAACAGGCTTTTTTTTGGAAGAAAAGAGAAGTAATATATTAGTGTACATATATATACACACAAATGTGAATGTATATATTTGCCATGTATTTGACTTACTGTGAGACTGTTCTCCCTAATAAAAATGCTGAGAGACACAGTCATCTTAACAGTCACCTTGCAGGAAATCACGTTTTGGATTTGGAGGATCTGGATTTATAGAGTCATTCTATTTTCACTACATTTTTCATGTGTTTCATAAAGCCAAACATGGAGTAATTTATTGCTTGTCTAGCATCCTTCATACCAAAAAGATTACAAAAATGTTTCACTCCCAATTAGAGCTAACCAGCTGGCATCAACCAGCCTCACTCAAAGGCAGCTCAAAGGTAGCAGAGCTAATAAGTTGGACTCACAAACTCAATTCATGGACAGATGAAAGTTCTTAAAGTTCAATTACTTTTGCATGGCCTGAAGTCTCACCATCTTCCCACTAACCAAAGCCTTCTGAGGAAGAAGTATCTGAAAGCTGAATAGCTCAGCAAACGTGCCTTAAAATAAAAGCTGTTAGCCAAGTTGGCTTAGAAAAAAATATGTCATACAGCATATCCAGGAGCAGGATACAGAGATGAAAAAGCTGAATGCTCTCCACCTCTAGCATCCTCAAAATAGCAAGTGTGGGACAATGAGCATGGTTAGAGTCATAAGATAAGAGAAATAGGCTGGGGCACCACAGCAGGGAGGTTTTTAAATGAGCACAATCATTTGTATTTGACTTTGAAGAGAAATGATATGAATACCCTTAGCCTGGTGTGGAAATATTTTTATTGCTTGACTTTTACATGAACTTATCAAGCTAGTATTTGGACAGTAAAAATACATTGCAGAAATACATCAGTATGTCTGCAGTGCATCTGGCAGGGACTTGCAGCCTCTCTGTTCCAAGCCTCAGGCAATAATGTCCTGGGTGACAAGTTTTTGTGCTGAAGCATGAAACATCCACTGGATTTATGCAATTCACAATGTTCATGTGCTGACTTCAAAATCCATGAAGTATAGATGGCACTGAGATTTTTTTCCCCAAAAAAAAAGAAAGGGTTATTCTTCTTCTTTTAGAAGATGGCTGGAGCCACAGACAATGCATGATGCTATGAAGTCTGAGCTTTAATTAGAGAGATAAAGAAACGCATGTCTTCTGTTAAAAGGGAAGGTTGTATTGAATGTGTGACAATGAAACCGCTTCCAGGACAACCGCTGGAGCTGCTCCTGCAAGGAGCTCTGGAGAAGGAAGATAAAGAGCTCAATCTTCACAAACACTGGCTTTTTGCCATCTTTGCACTTTTGTGACTCATCTCCTACTGATTTCAGTACGAAACAGAAACCTTTAATGTAAATAATACTTCTCATGGAGTTTTAACAAGGGCACCTTCCAATGCTAAATCCAAAACTAGTAAATTCTTTAAAATTAGTAATACTGAGGAAAGAAAGGGATGTTCAGGTGGAACTTTTCTGGGACTAGTGTCACATGAATAAAGTATTATAACCCATGAAAGAGAAGGGGCCTTTGGAACAGAGCGGGTTTAGTTCTTGCAAGTTCCACTACAAAGAGTTAAAACGGAGACTTCCTCATTTAATAGAGACCCATACAACAATATGCCAATCAGTGCCTCATGCTTTGGGTTTGAAACGAACCTTTGTCCGGCACAAGCAGAGAACAGCGTAAGCAGCACAATTCAGTCTTCTTCCCTGGCACATGGCAAACAGCAAGCAAACCCTAAATCCAGGGTAAAAAGTCTCAGCAAGCAGCACAATTATCTTTGCACCAGAGCTCCTGTATGTTTCTCTCTCTGAGAAAAAGAGATCACAAGATCTGGGCAAATCCTTCCCTAGAGCACTGACAAACAAGGTTGAAATGACCCCTGCTGCAGGAAAACATAAACATGCAAAAGAGAACACAAAAATCTTACTTTTAAAATGACAGCCTGTGTTTTCTAGCCTATAGACTTCAAATAATAGATTTTCAAAAGCTGATGTCTGAAAGAACGAATAATGTTATCAATGCAACTTAAAAAAAGAAAAATCTAAAAAATAACATAATAATGGCTCAGCTAAGGACCAGCTTGGAAGTACAACCTCAGGGGAACCTGCTTTTTCATGAAATTTTGGAGATGTGCATAAAAACAGATGTTTAGATTATGTATGTAGTATTGTGTGGAATGAAGTACCAGTAAAAAACTCTTCAGCAGTACCCATTTACTGCTGCAAAGAATAAGAGCTGACAATATGGATGCTTAAAAACAAGATTTACCTGAACCTCAGCAAAACTTCTCTTCTGCTTCCAGTGCGTTTTCCATTCCATCCTCCTCACCTCAGGAGCCAGACCACTACAACTGCAGACACCCCAGAAAGCATAAGGATGCTCTTCTTCTTAAGTAAGGTACAATTTACTTCATGTAAGGATTCTACTTTTCAGACTTGGAACTCAACTTCAGTGCAAATTTTTTTTAGAAGTGATGCTGCAGATTGGCATTCATAAAGCAAAGGGGAGTTTCTAATGGCTGCTGCTACAAACTCTGGGCAGAGCTGAGCTTCCCAGGCTGGTAGCAAACCAGCATTACTGTTTCCAAAGTTGTTACTTCTTACACATATCTCTGTGTCCCTGCCTGCTGAGCAGTTTCCGTTCACCGCCGGAGTCCCTGTGGTGAAGCAGTCCTTGAACCCAGAGCAACGAGCTGCAGCAGAGGGGATTTCCAGCAGGGCTAAGCTGGTGCACAGACTGAATCCCGCCAGCAAAAGCACCATGTATCGCTGTCGTGTGGAGAGACATCACTATCTCAGTCTCAGCATCCTCAAGTTTGTTTAATTCTCACATTTTAATTTCACCATTATTCGCACTATTCCTCCTGATCTTGTAATTATTTTTTTAAAGCAACAACAACAAAAAACCACTAATCAAGATCAAGCCCATCAAATACAAACGGAATATTTCAGCATACTATCCCCTCCCCTTTTGCAAGTTAGTGCATCACTTGCAGCCTTGCTTTGATTTCCCTGACGTAAGGATCATCCAATTTGCTGCAATGCTGCACAAAATAAATCACTAACCTCTTAAAACAACAAAAGGAGGGTATTTAATGAGTCAAAGACAATATTGTATTACCAAAGCAAAGATTAGAGGAACTGAATTGTTCCTTCAAAATAAAATTTGAAAGCTTTACAGAACCAAAAAAGGAAAGAAGAAAAAAAAAAAAAAAAAAGCAAAAAGCCATACATAAAGAAAATACAAACCATAGAAATACTGATGTTATTGGTAGAAAACATAGCAGGGCTTTTTGAGAGAACACCACTGAATGAAAGCAAGAGAAGCAAAAACCAGATGAAAGGAAGAAAAGAAGAGACAGATGAAAGAAAAGATGAGAGCTGGAGGGGTCATTGCCTTCATCTAGACTTGCTAACTTCACTGTTCAGAAACAAAAGCAGTGACTTCTTCCCAAAATTGTCTCTAAGGACTCTGTAGCCATTTGATGATTTAAAAATATACATATATATGATTTGAAGAAAAAACTATATTTTTTAATGTCACTCAGCAGCAGTTCTGCAGCTGGGGATTTCTGTTCATAGAATGATTTGAATTTGTTTCTGCTCTAGTTATTTCATTACAACCATAGGATTTATTACATGGTAATTCCCCAAGCTCTTATAAATCTATTTGTTGTTTTGTTTGCAGTTTTTTTCTTTTCCTATGATTCCAGTCTGGCAACAAATTTTCCATATAAAATTTAATCTATTGTATCTCACTTTTGCATAATCAGATCATTAAAATGCATTGCTAATATGTAAATCTGAGCTAACCTCATTACCATAATTATGCTCCATAATTATTGAATAAACAAGCATTTTAGGAGTTTTGAAGTCTGCTGAGAATGCTTTTTGACTTTGGGAGTGGCCTTAATTATGTGCTCCCTAATCATTATGATAAACCTTTGTGACAACTCTGTTACGTGACCATTTTAAACGCTGCTCCTAATCTGCACAGCAAGGACCAAAGGTGGATGTGCTGAGAGCACGGCAGACAGCATCCCCCAGTCACAGCCCAACTGCCACATTCCACACAATTAGTATTACTGCTTAATTTATAGACAGTACTTTGCTCACAAGCCTCCACATACTTTAAGGAACGACAAGGGATGAGTCAAATTTTGCCTTTTCCTCTGGAAGCAGTAGAATTAGTGAGCAAACATCTCTGTGTGGCCTAAGTTTATTGGATGGAAATTGTTCTGCAATAACACACTCATCATCATGAACTTTACACCAGTACTGCATGGATGCCTGATGAAACTGCTTTCAAAAGCAATGACTAGTAAGTTTTTGGGGTTTTTTTGGTTTCTTTATAAGAGTTTGTTTGTAAGTTTTTAAAATATACCCCTAAATGAGGCATAGGGTAAACACTGAAGCTAATAAACCTTAGCCAATGTATGAAAGATTCAGCCCATTACCTTTAGGAAGCATCATGAGCAGAATCCCGCTGGCTTCCTCAACTCTGTCACATCTTTAGTAAGAAGCAGATAGTTCCATGACTACCGTTGCCAGAAGATGTCTGAACCTAAACAGAAAATGGAAACCTCATTGTTTGCAAGACCCCCAGGAAAAAAAAATCCAAAATCTGTGGTAGATTGGCTCTTTGAACAAGTGTTTCAGAAATGATCAGTAAGGACTTGGCAACAGTTGGGTGTCCTTGGCCCAGAGTGCTATAAACAAAAATACCTGCGTATTGAGCTTTTCTCCTTTTACATGAGATTTTGTGCAGGAGACTTAATTAAAGTTTTTGTCAAAGTGTAAGAAGGTCAATAAGATTGATCCATAACAAGTTTTCAGGGTGAAAATGAAAAAAGCTGTTTGATCTATGTTTTAGGAAAAAAAAAAATCAAGCATATAAAGCGTAGTAGGCATACTAACTTGCTAGTATAAAAGACAACTGATAAACAACTCCGTGGTTGTCCAAAGGGCAACAGAAAATATAAAATCCACAGATTATTTTAGCCATTTTTCTTAAGTTCCAAGGCTGTTTTGTTGTTAGCTGATTTTCTAATAACAAACAAGAGAAAGTGATGGAAAATTTTTCAGCTCTTTCAGAAAGCAGCTCTCTTTCACTACTCCTTTGTAACAAAGCCTCTCAATACACAGCCTCTACATACTCAGTCCCTCATGTCTTCTTCCCTGGAAACTGAACTAGAAAGGAAACTCAAATTAGATTCAGGCAGTGATGAACATTACCATTTTGGTGATCTGAAGCTTGTCAAGCCTTCTTATCCTTTCAGTGAACATCACATTACCCTGCCACTGGACAAAGATTTGATGTGAAATGACACTTCACTGTGCATTTAAAGGACAGACAGACTGTTTTACCTTAGATGGGAGGAGAAAGAACAGAAAAGAAAAAAGGATTATTCGTGTTCATGGACACAGGCAAACACCAGCACTTCTCTACATATCGATTTTGTATCCTTCTGCACAGCCTTTTTTTTGAGAGTGTTGGGACATGACAGAAGTAAACGTCAGTGAAATAAATCATTTGGTTTTAAGGAATTCAAGACAAAGAATAAAAAGAAATTCAAGTGATTCGAGAAATGCATTCAGGGAAACATTTTAACCTATAAATTAGCCACAAGAAAATTGTTTGGGTATATGAAATAACATTCAAACTACATTTAAATTTTTATTGATCCCATTAAATCTCGAGTCCATCCTTTCCATACAGAGTAATTTCCAGTGCAGAATAGGTTCTTCTGTTTGCAGAACAGGTAATAGAAGGAAAAAGACGATCACAGCTTTATTTGGTGGGAAAATCTCAGCACAACACCAGCCTGCAAGCCCACCCCAAGAATGGCACTGAATAATACAGAAATACTTCTCATTTCTGCAGAGACTTTCAGTGCAGAATCTGGAAATATTTTAAGGTATCCATTTCTTAAATTTCACTAATGAAATGATAGGGGCATGCACATCTTCTGGATTTAAAGAAACAAAAAACTATGTAAAGATACATGGTTACATTCCTTTTTGGGGAGAGAAGGGAAAATGACTAGCTTCAAGTCTTTCTTACAGGACTATTCAGACATCCTATTATCCCTTTTTCTGCAATCTGAGTTTTTTATATCCATCTGCATTGCACCCTAATTTTACCATGGTTTTGTTCCTCCATTACCCAGGTGAAGCAGGTTTGGCCCCAGTCTTTCCTCCTGCCACTTCACCCAGACACCCCTAAGCAGCCCAGATAATTTCTGTGGTGATGCAGGTTTTTAAAAAAAAAATCAGAATCCCCACAGTGCAAATAAGTAGAGCCGGCCAGGACACAGCCATATCCCTTAAGTCAGTATCAGCAGAAGAGACTCAAAGTGATGCCAGGCTCCCTTGCCCACTTGCTGCAGCACTTCACCCACAGCAGCACAGCAGTTCCTGGTGCTGCACTTGGCTCAGAGCAGAAAGGGGCATTGCAAGGTGAGGAAGGAGCAGAAGGAAGAAGTGCTTGCCCTGCTTTGAGAGAAGGGGCTCACGACTTTACAGAGCCGCCCCATTGTTTAGGAAGAGTTTCACAGAAAACTCTGATTAAACCTGCAAAGCTGCTGGGAAGAGCTGCCCAGTGTCACAAAATGAGCGGGCTGAGTTGGAATCTTTCTCGTCCGTTCTTCTGTTTGCTTAGTTTGCTCAAGGAGTTTTCAGGACCATCCACCTCTCTGAAACGCTATCCCTGTGTCACAACCACTTCATACAGGCTGTACGTTTGACAGTTTCTCTGTCACAGATAAGCAGCAGGTATGACAGCAAGCACTATCATGCCATATGCTTCATTTTCTTAAGTGAAAAAAATGGTGCTGATTCATCAGTAAGAGCAGCTATTTTCTCGAACTGCAAAGCTTGCTTTCACTAGGTGTCAATACGTCAAGATACCAAACCAAGATGGGCCATGCCTTCACCTCTGTCAGCTGATTTGAACTCCCAAAAAAGCAAAAAAGGAACTCTGTCTGGTCAAGGTGACTGCATGGTGTACTGCTGCCACAGCACCTTCCATCACATCTGTCTCTCCCACAGGCCTCGCTTGTGAGAAAAGAAAGGAGCTGCATAACATACCATGGTGTCAACTCAGACCTTCTAACATTCCTCCATTAACTTCAGTAGGTACATTTCCCAAATTCAATATATACCATGAATTACACAGCTAAGAATTGTGAGCTGCCCTTGTAATTTTTTCTGCCTATAACTCAGAATGAAAAGTACTGCTTATAAAGGGCACTTAATGACTGGTCCTAGAATTGGACAGGTTGGGGGACCTTCCCATTGGCCTGGAAACTGTAGTAAGGTGATGCTCAGAGTCTCAAATTCAGTTTCAAATGCACTGTTTCACTGGCACAGCCTCTCAGCTGACTTCATTTTCTCCTTTGTTGAAGAGCGAAGTGACCATTCTGTTCCAAATCTCACCACCTTCCTCTACACATTTCCTAAAGCATTTTTTCAATGCAGAAAAGTGGTTATTGCACTCTGCACATGCTTGTGACACTTTGCTTCAAAGAAAGAACTGCAAACCCCTCTTCCTGAAGCAAAACAGTTAATTACACTAAGCTAGTTAATAGCCTTTCATCATCAAGGACTGGTTCTTCCGCACACACAGGGACAGAATCCATTAATTTTTATGTATATCCTTTTATTTATCTTTCTCCTACCAGCTGTATGATAATTTATTCTCTGTCACTGTTCTTAACTCATGAGTTCATTTAAAGTGTGATAGCAGTAGAAATATATTAACAGTTTCCAGAGAATAAAATCTTTCTGAAAATGGAATCCAGCACTTTACTTTTACAAATACAGAATTTAAACCTTTTGCACTTAGCTTAATTAATTAAGTCCATACGGAAATTACCCAAGCAGCTCTGTATGGCACAATGTGTGTGCTGATACCTAATTATCATCAATTCAGGCAGAACAAAGAAGCCAGAAAATTGCCTCAATATAAAAGGTATGTTGGGATTGGCCACGGAGTGAGCAGAGCAGCCCCACACCAACAGGAGCTGCTTCGAGGTTTCTGGGCTGTGATCTCTCAAGCTAAGGCTGCTGCAGCCAGAAGGAACAGCCACTGTCTTTTTCCCATCTATCCCTGCACGCGCATCCCACCTCCTCTTCTATGTCATACACTGTTTATTTAGTTTACTGATTCAGCTGAAAAGTGAACAGGTTTGGAAAAGCCTGGCAGTGGAAAGTAAGCCCATGGAACTGCACCTTGGGCCACCACAAGGTTCTGAGATGCCAGAGAAGTACCCCGATGACCTTCCAGAGCCATGCTGCCTCGTGCCACAGCCAGGGCAGGATGCGAGGCCCTGAAGAACAGACTCATCCATGCCCCAGCACACTTACCCTGGGTTGCTGAGCTCTGCAGGGCTTCTGTGAGCTTTCAGCATTCAGCTCCCTGTTGGTTTTACACACCAGTAACACAGCCGTCAGCAATGCTTTTGCAGCATGTAGAAGCGACAGCCTCTTCTCTCTTGGGAAGCGAGTTTGTAAAAGAATTCTCCTCCTTTAGCCGCCAGTCCTGCCAGTCAGCACGGCAGGGACACCGTGCGCCCTGCCCTCACGGCAGCCACGTTGCGGGGCCCGGCCCTCTCGCCCTGTGGTGCGGCAGCATCCTGGGCCCCGTCGCGTGGTGTTGGGCAGCCTTTTCAAACCGACATTTCCGCTCCTCCTTTCTCCTCAGCACCTTCAGTGTCATTAGGAGTAGTTAGAAGATAATTAGTCAGGAAAAAGCTATCCGATTCTTACGTAAAAGAGCCACTTGGCAGAACAGCTCCCAGAAACGGCCGCTGCTTGGTGTAAACGGCCTTGCAGAGCACGGCAGCGCCAAGCAGAATCAGAGATGGCACTCAGCTCCTGAGCTGCAATGAAGACAGGAGGGACAAACTGACATAAAGCCCTGCCAAGCTGAGAACTGCCAGTCTCCCCCAGTGGCTGTGGAGCGCTGCAGGGAAACCTCTGATACGAGCAAATAAGCAAAAGAAAACTGAACGTGGGGAAAAGTTAGGAAAAGATACACATCCACATTCCATCCTAGCAATCATTATTATTGATTTCACTGCTGTCTTTAAGGGATGAATCTATTACAGGAACCAGTACTTGGCAAAATTACAAAGAAACACATGCTTTCCCATAAGCAGCTATAGACAATTGCCCATCTCTATTTGTTTGTTATAACTCTCAAGATCCAACCACTATCTGGAAAAAACATTTCAATATTGACATCCGCTTTAAGCAAACATGTAGTTAAGGAGGAAAGAAAAAAAAAAAAAAAAAAAAAGAAAGAAAGAAACCAGTGAGAGAGGAAGTATAAAGTAAATTCTTCTCATTCTCTTTCTAGTTAAACAGGTATGTTTTCATGGCAGCACTGGGTGGAAACTTTCTGCTTCCAACAAGAAGAAACTAATATGCAGTAGTCAATATCCTAGTGGAGAAGAAATAGGTACCATATTATGTATAAAAAAGTATCTCAGTCTTCTTGTTCACCTGTCACACCCTTGCTCATAAACAGTTAATTCAGTAGAGCATTTAAAGGTCAAAGGTTTCTCAATTTTAAAATTACAGTTCTATTAATCAGCCTGCTTTGGCTAGGATTGATTTGTATTTTTAAATAAAAGAGATGTAAATCCCAGAGTTTATTACACAGGCCTTACAATGGTTTTATTAAACATGTCTCAGATGGTTTTCCTCATGTCTAAAAGTGTGGCTGTAAAGTCACCTGCCACAACTAACTCAGAAAGAACCCACTGTGTACAACCTGGTCAATTCCACATGGCTCCATCTCGCTCAAAGCATGTTACACACCCATATGAACCAAAATGTTCATCTTCAGTTATTACACAGTTAAACGACATAGTTGCCCTAAGAAAAACAAGAGAGTTTTTTTTTTTAGTTCAGTTCTGTGTACCAGACCAAAATGCAAAAGCATTTTCTTTTATTTATTCCAAGATCAAACTCTCGGAGCTTTTCAGGTTAACTAGATTATTTCTGAAATTCTGTTCATATATAATAGAAAATTGCCGCATTTCAGTGTAATTCTTGCTTCTCCAAAATGCAATGTCAGTAAAGCAGGGCTGTACTAACATGGAAGTAGGCAGTAGCACAGGCCCACCAAGTGCTGCCATAGACATCAAATTAAATACAATTATGGAAAACCTCTAAGGAATTTTATAAAACATAGTGGGCTTTTTAGAACTGATTATTTAGAGCAAGATTATTTTTCTTCTAACTAGTACTACAAGTTTCAAGAATTTCAAAGCTATCTCAGTCTCTTTTGAATTCCATCTGCTTTCAGAATCACTTCTATAAAATCCTGTTTCGGCCCAGTGTTAGCCAAAACCTTTCTCAAGTACCCAAGTTTAAACATATGACTTGCACCACCCCAGCTCCTGAGAGCACTTCAGCTCATGTTAATTTTAAGCACATGTTAATTTCAAGCACATACTGAAGGCTCTCCTGAGCCAATGCTAGTAAGAGCTGTGGCTGTACATCCTTGGCAAGGGGATTTCTTCAGCTTCAAAGCACTTGGACCCTGTTTTTACTAACATTGCAATAGTCTGCCTTTGCCCCTTGACAGAAGATGAAAATCCACATGGCTGTTAGCTGGAAGGGACCATGAACCCTGCCGAAGCAGCTTTAGGTCCCACATGTGCCACTGAAGGCAGATTTCTACCACTGCCACCCCTGGCACTTCTCTACTACCCATTTTCCTTACCAAGTTATACGTGTTGCAGCTGCATCTCCATATCTGCCTTTCTGCATACAGAGAGAGATGAACCACAGCAATAAAAATGAATCTGAGTTTACGAGCAATACTGTTTGCTCCTAATGTTTGGAAGCATTAATATTTTAGAATTTACTTCATCCCTTCAAAAAAGCAGTCTCTGCCTCAAATAGATTCATAGCATAAGAACTTCAGTTTAAGCTGCCCAAAAATTAGAAAGCAATCCAGATTCCACAGTTGCCTGTTTTACAGCACAATGGTTCATCACATATGGGATTGTAAAACTGCACTCCTATGTGCGGGCAATTTTAACACCTGGGGAAGGCAGGAAGCTGAGCTATACAGATCCATGCTCAAGTTTCATGCCCATGCAGAACAATCTTGAAACAGGATTGCCAGCAAACCCTATGCAAATGATAGCAAGTTATGCACTTTCACAACTTTTTAATTAACAACAATCACAATGACATCCATGCTAGCAAATAAACGGGTGGTGTTCTGTCACACAGTTGTTAGTTTTCTCCTCGCAGCTCAACTTATTTGAGTGCTTTTGCAAGGAACTCCAGCATGTCCTACTGGGCAGCAGAACACACAGAGAGAAGAAAGCTGTTAGCAAGTCGATCTTAACATGATTTATTTCCAAGTGGCAGATACCAAGCAGGTAGTATATATTTATCATTTGGACAAGGCCTCAATAGAGACAAATTTGGACTGTGAGTCTTTCTAAGAAACAGCTCAGCTACAGATACACCAAAGCTCACTTTGCTGCTTAATTAGACGCATGCTTCAGCTGGTCTAGCTGGAGGTTTTAATATAGTTGATGTTTGTATTCAGATATGAATTTTACTACTAGCAGTTTAAAATATGAGAGCGTTGAGGCCAAAGAGTGCAAAATCCTTTTCAGACTGTGTTTCCAACACCAATAATCAGTAGACATTACACATCAAAACACAGTTCCTGAGACAATAATTAACGTCTATTTATTTCCTGAATAAAGGTACTGTAAAATCTCATTAAAATACATGAGCAGCATTGAATCCTGTTGAAGACTCGGAATAAATGACCAGTTTAGGACAAACAAGCAAGATGTTGGAAGTATTTCTGGTCACCGTGAAATGGAGGAGGGGAGTGGGAGAAGCAGAGCGGGGTAGAGGAAGAAAAAAGCAGGAGCAAGTTTCATTTTGCTAGAAGAAAATAATACACTAAGCTTTCTTTTGTCTATGCCTACTAGCTGGCTATCCATCATAAAAATCATCTATTATTCACTGTAATTTAAAATATTTTCTGTGCTCTGTGGTATAGTTCCCCAGTTTCTTTGAGACTAACCTAGAGTCAACCCAATAGTCATGCACAGATAATCTTTCTTTCAAGTCAATGGGAGCTCTGGGAGCACACAGGTTGCAGAAATGAGGCTGAGCAACTCCATGGGATTTAAATACACGTTCCATCAAAATGAATGAAAGGTAAACCTCCTGTGTGGCTTGAAAATCTCAATTACTGTTCTGAACTTAATTCAGTGATAAAAGTTCCCATCGTTCATCTGCTCAATAATATGTGGAGCTGCCATAGGACAGCATGCTCTGTGGCTGTCTATTAGCTTTGTAAAATACAAACATAACCAACCTGACTCTAATGTCAAATCTCAGTTATAAATAATTCTGTTCTACCAAGTGACTGCCCACGTGTCCAGCATTACACACGTAATGAAAATCAAGTTCTTTGCTTGCCTACTCTGCCATCAACCAGGAATAACTCATCTGATGTCAAGGGAGCCATGTGGAGTAAACCCAGTTCAAGTGCAAAGAGGGGAAAAAAAAAAAAGGAAGCGTCTGATCTGTGATTTCTCACAAACTCCTGAACCCACTGTTCTTCTAAAGGCAAAAAGTTGCCTTAATTTCTGTCCTTTCACAGGTATTGTTGGAACAGCCTTTCTAAAGAGAGTTTGCAAAAGCAAGGATGCCAACCCACTGCAGAGGAGCACAAAAATATCCTGAGCACTTTTCCAGTTCTCACGGTTCCCATCACTAACAACATGGATGTCTGAAGGGAATCTAGAGCTTAACTGCACCAGGTACTTACTAGCTGGAGAGCTGGCAAGCACCCAGACCAGACCCAGCAAGCCTTCTGCTGTGGATGACAGATCCACTTCCTACATAAACTGCAAGCCATATTTACAGCTGTTAGGTCTTCTTAAAAATACAGAAGCTTGACGATACATTTTAAAACGGCTCCTAGAAAAAAAAAGAAAAAAAGATTTTTGTTAGCGTATGCTGTTCTCATGTGCTTCCCTCCAACCCCTTTTTGAGTGAAAAATCAAACAAGAAATCTGCACAGGGCTACATAGAAGTGTTCTTTGCACCAAGAGCCCAAAATATTTCTTAACGTGATGTGATTCAGACAGGTTGTACAGGTAAACAGCCCTTCTCCTAGGTGACTGCCTAGTGCCTCCCCTAGCCTGAAGAAAGCCCTGTTTTCTAAAACCTTTTATGCACCTCGAAGTATTATAAGCAGTAATAGCTCTTATCAAGCTTGTGTTGTAGCACATCTTCCTTAACAAAGGAGACCAAAAAGACTAAGGAAACCTCAGGGAGAAATGGCTCTGGGTAAGGCCTAAACACAAAAGCTGAATACTCTCACGGGAAAGGAGAGACAAAGGAAAACACAAAGGATAAGCTTCTCTACAAGTTAACAGAAAGAGAACCTAACAAGCAGCCATATTTCAGGTTATCACAAACCTCACGTAAATGCATTAAATCATTTATTTCTGAAAAGAACATGAAGATTAACCCAGCCCATCTTGTTACCTGCATGGTGCTCATTAGTTTCACTGAGAACTCACAGCAGAAAAACAGCAGCTGGAAGGGCTGCCAAAGCCTAAAGGAGCTGCCTAAAGCCAGGGTAGACTTGACTGAAGATATCCACCTGATTCTTCTTCACAGGAGGAATGCAATTGAAAAATTCCAGCCTGACAGGTAATTTGCATTGTTGAATGATTACATATAATTTAGCAGCTTTTTAGCTTTCCTTGATGCATCTGTGTTAGGCAAGTGTGGCAGCACAGGTCAGCTAACATAAGCTAAATACCTCAAAATGCAAGCAAAGGGGAATTTTTATTTTATTTTTCTTTTTTATAAAAAACACATCAACAGGCCTTCAATGTCAGCGTTAAAATTCTGTGGTCTAACCTCACTAAGCAACAATTGTGGAATGCCAGGTGTCAGGCGGATCGGGAACTGTAATGATTTATACAGCCAAAGAGTTTTTCATCTCAGCATTTACTGAGAATTTTAAAAGCACTCTCCCTTTTACCACGGATGGATCTTAAAAATAGTAATCACCGCCTGGTATACTTCACCAACACTTAAAAAAAACCCAACCAGACGAGGTTGTACTTTGCATTGAGGCAGAACATCAGTAGGAAAGGAAGTACTATGTACTGTGTGCTAATGTAAGTAGACACATGGAAAGAGAAAGACATGAAACAGTTTAGAGGGCATAATATAACAAATGTTGGCAAGAGTTGGCTTTTTAACAGCAGTGGCTTCAGGAATTGGGCAGGAACCCATCAGCTAGCAGGTGCTGAGATGAGAATAAATTGCTTATCTGTCCCCGCTGCTCAATCTCAGGAGAGATGCTGTATCATGTCATTCAACTTGCTGATCTCTTCAGACAGATTTTTCCAGTGAAAAAAATGTAGTGCCAAAAGTATTGGTTTACTAATAGGGAAACATAGCTTCTCTGAATTGACATTTCTATATGCTGAGCACATAGGGATCCCCTTGGGAAGTCACAAGTAGCGACTGTTTTCTGATTAATTAATCCACACATCTCTTCTTTCAGCTACATCTGTATACATCAGTACTGACATCAAGTTGTCTGTTAACTTCATCAGAAGTATTTCCTTTCCCTGAATTTCCCAGGGGTGTATCAGTACCTGCTTCCCTAAATAAAAGTGGCAGGCAGATGCAAAGTGGGTATCAACTGACTCTCCCATTCAGCATATCTACTGTGCAGACAAGAGTTCAAAATGGTTATTAAAAGGTCAGAGAACCTTCCAATTGACAAGGCATCAAGTTCAGGTGATGCTCATCCAAAAGTGCTAATAGAAATGGGGACCAAAATTGGAAAACCTGCAGGAGACATTTTGACAAGCTCAACCAAATAAGGAATCCCGGAGGACTAACATAAAACTGTGTTTTAAAATGACCCAAAAACAAACAAACATAAGAAAATATTTACAGACTATTTTTCAGGAATATTTTGAGCATTATTTTCATGGTTCAGAACATAGAGAAGTCAGGCTACTTCAGTATCTCAAGCAGATGATACGGTTCCAAGAAAGCACAAGCCTCTCTTTTTTTGCTGCCTCCTGCTCTTTGCAAACTAGGTCTTTGCTTTCTTAGTAGAAGAAAAACCCTGTTAGAGGGATCGCATTTAATGAAAAGGGGCTGAAATGGAATTCTGACAGCATCAGATGTCAGCAGTTGATGCCACTCCTTATATATTATTGTATTCAGAAAATCCTACAAGTACTCAGCCAGAGAAAATTCCCTGACTTAAAATCAATACTACACTGAAGTCCTTTATCCTGCCAGTAATTGCTGTTTGCATGCAAAGCTGATGCATACACCTTCACTGGGAGGAAAATTAGTAAGAGTTTCCCTATATTGGCAGAAAAAGAATGAACTCAAGTATCTGTTCCTAACACTTTTTTCAGGGATGGATTGTGAGGAAATGGTAATGGCTGCATATCTTGCCGTGAAAGCCATGCAGAACAGCGCGTTTCGTTTCTTCAGTGAACTGCAGCTCTCTAGATTGCAACTGCCTGCATAAATCACGTCAGCCCATTCTGCTGTGTTCACATGTAATTCCTTATGTATGTGCCCAAAACATGCAGTTCTTGCATGCTGTAGAGGGATGCCCCATTACCTTAAGGTACACAGGGAGGCATCTAGCTAGCGATCAGAATGGAAACCACAAATACCTATATAAAGACAAGTTCTTCTAACAAAATCTGATTAAATGAAGAGATGAACATTTTAATGCTTCTCTGAGCTGCCCAGACTGTGTGAATTTAGAAAAACTGGTCAGGAAGTACAGCTATCACTAAGGTCACTGGTGTGAGGATAGGTGTCTTTTCTGAAAATAGCTAAACTATCCACATTTCAAGTTCTTGCTTCATTGACATCTCATTTCAATCTCATTCAGATTGGATGGGGCCCTGGGCAGCCTGGTCTACTATTAAATGTGGAGGTTGGTGGCCCTGCCTGTGGCAGGGGGGTTGGAGATTCATGATCCTTGAGGTCCCTTCCAACCCTGGCCATTCTGTGAATCTGTGATTCATTTTTTCCTATTAACAGGCACTGAGCCCTGTGGCACACTGGTGAGGCTACATGTATGCACCACACTCCCTGCAAAAAATCTAAATCCCACGTTGCTGCAAACACCGATTTACTAAGTAGGTTCACAGGTCAGTACGGGAAACAGCCCGAAACATCAGCTGCAGAACATCCAGAGAAGTTTGTTCTGTTTTTGTTCTGACAAAATGACCAAATTTCAAGGAGCAGAATTGCAGCATTTTTTCAGAAAGATTCACTGTTACTAATTGGTAATGGACAGAAGATGAGGTGCCATACTGAAGGCTCCTGTTGTAGAAGGGCCATCCTCGATAGCCTGTGCAAAGGGGGTCGACTCCATCCTCCTCAGATCCACTTGTTCTTTCTGTAGGAATACTATTCCTGTGTGGCAGTGCTCAGGCCACAAGGCAACAGCTCCTCCTCACCCTGCAGATTGACTTTGGTTTAAAAGAAAGACAGCAAAAAGAAAAGACACCAAATTCTACAGATCACATCTATCCCAAAACTTCATAGGATGCTTGCACACACTATAGAAATTGCAATGTATTCTCTATAGCATTTTCACCTGGGCTGCACAGATTGTTGGCTTTGCAGTTGGCTATATGATGGGGGGCATTTGATCACCTCAGGCTGGAAGATCGAATTTCTCTTTTGTTCCTCTGTGGCTGCAGGGCTGTATTAAGCTGTATTTTTTAGTCAGCCGTTCCACAGCTTCTGCAGAAGTATGTAATTTCCACCAGCACCTTTAATGCCAATGTTGTTTAATCCATTCCCGAATCACAATGAAAAGGAGTTTAGAAGCAAATGAAAGGCACCTGGATGAATAAGGAAATGGAATATCACTATGTCAAAGCCTGAATTAGTCACTGTGCCTGCATGCGTGTTGTTTATTATAGTTCTGACTATTAAAAATATGCCAGAGCACCGCACTGGTGGAATCAGAGCTTGTGGACTTCGTGAGCTCTCTCAGTGAATCAAAATCAGACAATCTCCTCTGCTAAATAACTCTGTGCTGATGTGCTCTGAAAATGCAGAGACTCAGCTCCTCACTCTGCTTGCTTATCACCTAAAGTGGGCTGGTATGGAAAGAACGTTTTGGCTTTGAATCTAAATGCAAAGGCAATAGACAAACATCCAAGAAAAAGCCAGTGCTTCATGGGAAAGCAATCAGGTCCGTAGTTTCTCAGGCTCACTAAAGGACCACTGGCATTCAGTTTTTGGGAAGAGCTGGTTTGTTTGCTTTTCTCTATTTGATAGAACAAGATCAGATGCTTTCATGTTATGCTCAGGTGTTCAAATAGATGACCTCTCTCTGCTCAAGGGGGAGCCCTTCAGCCACTAGAAACACTCTAGAATTTGAGAAGTTACAGAAGGAAACTTGGGATTTGAATCCAGCTCATCTAAACACCCACCATCACACCTTTTTCCAGAGCAGTATGGCTCTGGGACTCTGTAGGGTTCTGAAAGCTCTCATCTTGATCTAATTTGGCACACACATCAGTTGGAAATAACTCCTGGGATGTCAGTAGTAGTTACTTGTAGCCGTGTCCATTATATTACGAACACCATGTGTCCAAAACAAGTATGAAACACTTCCAGAAACCATTCTTCTCTCTGTTGGAACAAAATGGCATTTCAGACTCACTCAGAACTGCCTGCTGCACAGGACCGTAAAGAATCAGTTCCCTAAGGGGAAAAGTATTCAACTTTCTGCACTTACCAGCTCAAGAAAACAAGAGATTCTGGCAATTAAGTGTTTCAGGAACAACTGAAAGCTATTGAACTCTTCCCATGAATCATAGAGTCATTTGAATTGGAAGGGCCTTTAAAGGCCATTTAGTAACTCCTCTGTAGTGAGCAGGGACACCCACAGC